AATACATCACCTTGTATCAAACCTTGTGTGTTATCAAAAAGTAACCAGTCTTGAACTCCGCCTGCCAGCTAACTTGGAATGTGCATGGTTTACGCTGGACCGTTCGTATTCTTGCTGTTTGTCACGCCTTTCTTGTGTGGTTTTCACACGTTTAGCAGCAGGCTCCTGGCAGTTTAAATATTGCCACATACTTTGATGTAGACGTAACTCTGCAGCGTGTTCGATGCAAATCAAAGATGGCGGAACATAAAATGTATGCGCGAATTCTATTGGTTTGAATCGGAGGCTTGATCGGCCTACATCCAATCTGATCGTTTGTTACAGTTCCCACGTTTCGCGATCATTCGGCGAGCTTGAATTATGACTCGTATGCCCAGGTTGATGAGTGATGCTATTTGTTGATCAAACGTGCAAGAAAATGCAATTTTGAAACAATTCTGGAGTTACTATAGATATTTATTATATATTTGGTCTTACAATCATACTAAATAATGGAACATTCTTTTAAAATATAAATTTATGGTCGGTCACAAGGACTGATGGTTTTTCACAGCTTTAGGCCCTTTACACCCACTGTCGGCGTGAGGCCGACGGGCCGACGCTAATTTCGAGCACTGTTTGTATTAAAAATTAATTATGACAATGCATATTTATATTGAAACAAACTATGATAAAGGGAATTATATTATATAACAAAGGGCAAGGTCACCAGAGTTCAACTATGTTTACAATTTGGGTTGCCTTTGAATATTGAGTGAAATATTATTGTTATACATAATTCAATCTTTGAAACAGAAACTAACACATAATAACGATAATCAAATCTGTGTTTGAAGTTCGAAAGTAGTTGTGTTATTTCCGGTTTCAACTAGTTCGAAAATAGAACATCCTTTAACGCGATAAAATCACGCGTAGAACGCCTTCCGAACCAGACATTAGCAGCGTAAACTTATTGCAATTTGCGCAATTTGGGCCCAGTTTGTTCTTACAAGTTTTCCAAGTTTCATTTATCATTATTTAGTAAACGGGTCCCTGAAACGATTTAATATATCCGTAAAATACGTGGCAATTGACAATTGACTTCGAAACGTTCGAAATTTCGAACAAACTCCCGGCGCACCTAGCGCGATATGCGTCAGATCGGTGTAGTAGATGCCGAACTGCAGCGTCAATGGTCTTTACCAGGATGTATGACCTCTCGGTGACATGAGGTTGCACTTGTAATACCTGGGCTATTATTACACTTTTAAGTCAATTGTATTTAGTCATTATGTTATGTTTCACATTATCTGCAGCACCGATGTCATTCTTGACAGCATCTCTTCTACTTTTCTAATGTCAATGAGTTTTTTTAACTTTCCATTGTACTTTTAGGGGGTCATGCATATGTGTATCAGAATGTATGCATTTATCAAT